TACTATAACACTCGTACATTTTCTTGAGCTCCGAAATACCTACCCACACTCCTGTGCCAACATTAGTTGAATTAAGAATAAATTATAGTAACGAGCATTATAGGCCAAATCTGATAATCAGGAATGTTCGCTCTCGTGTAATAGAAACTACTTTGCATCTAAAAACTGAGGTTCCAGGTTCGATTCCCGTAAAACCTCACGTGAAATTTGTTACGACAAAACGAGTTTGCATGCTTCACAGGAGCTAGTCCAACCCCTCCATGGGAAGCGCCCCAAACCTTACCCCTATCCTTATTCCTTCCCAATTCAGGCCGACAGGTAGATGACGCAAGGCGTGTGCGAGACGCGAGCGCGAAGACGCTACCTATCGGCGATTCCCTGACTTGACTGCGACTGACGTGACTTGACTAACCAGTGGCCCCTAGACAATACTGGGTGTAAAATGAAGGAGGATTACTCCTATAAAAGCAAATAGCGGAGGACTACTCCAAGGCTCGCACAACGCGTGTACAAACGCAACAAATGTAGAATAAGAAAAATAAGAATAAGTACTACATATTTGATATAAAATTCCTTTCGTGAAAATAACACAATTCCCCACTCCTCTCGCACCTAGCGAAGCAAGGGCTCAACAAAACGTGCGCGGATAATACATGCCATAATAATAGAAGTAACAATAATAATAAAGCAACAATATTGACAATAGAAACAATAGTCATAATAATAAGTACAGAAAAATAAATCTGCGACTGTAATTTCCGTTTTCCAATTTACTTCTTTGATACTGAATGAAAAATAAATGGTTGGATAATCATAGTGGTGAAAAAAAATTGAAGTGGTCAATAAAAATTTAAAAAAGCAAGTTACGATAAGATTAAAGTTACGTAAAACCTCCAGAAAAATAACCTAACAATTGAAAAATGGCAAAAATTACAAAATATGACCCAATAACTATACCTTTCTATCACCTATACGTCGTGAAAAACATGTATTTTCAAGTTGGCTACAAGTAGAATGCACCAATAAAAAAATGTCATCAGTATCCGAGCCCTGATTATGATCACCAATAATAATAATAATAATAATAATAATAATAATAATAATAATAATAATTGTAATTGTAATTTTATTA